GACACCCCCCTGTACACACACAGTGACACCCCCCTGTACACACAGTGACAACCCCCCCGCACACAGTGACACCCCCCACACACAGTGACACCCCCACCACACACAGTGACACCCCCACACACACAGTGACACCCCCCACACACACAGTGACACCCCCCCCCACACACAGTGACACACCAGGCCCCCCACACACAGTGACACCCCCCAGCCAGTGACACCCCCAACACACAGTAACACCCCCACACACCAGTAACACCCCCCACACAGTACAACACAGTAACCCCCCACACCCAGTGACACCCCCCACACACACAGTGACCCCCCCACCCTCCCCCCCCACAGTGACACCCCCCCCACACCAGTGACAATCCCCCCGCACACAGATAGTGAGACCCCCCGAACAACCCCACAGTGACCCCCCACACACACAGGATAGTGAGACCCCCCAACCACCACAGCCTCCCCCCTCACACTGACCTTGTGCAGAAGGCCTTTGCTGGTCGCCAGGAAGGCTATGGTGTGCTCCATCTCCACACCTGATTGCTACGGCAACCAACCGCCCGAGCATGGTCAGCACCGGCCTCACCGTGATGGGAATGTGACTGGCCATCGGGCTGGGCGTGTGGTCATAGCCACACGGGTAGGCCGCTGACGTGTCCTGTGCAGAGAGAGGGAGAGAGTGTGTAGAGAGTGAGAGAGTATGCGAGAGAGAGTATGAGTGTGTGTGAGAGTGTGTGTTGTGAGGAGAGAGAGTGTGATGGAGTGTGTGAGGAGAGTGGTGTGTGAGTAGAGAGTGTATGTGAGGAAGAGTACGAGAGAGAGTGTGAGAGAGAGTATGAGAGAGAGTGTGAGAGAGTGCGTGAAAGAGTGAGTGTGTGAGAGTGAGAGTGTGTGAGAGTGGAGTGAGAGAGAGAGAGGAGAGAGTGTGTGTGAGAGTGTGTGAGAGAGGGAGAGTGTGTGAGAGAGGGAGAGTGTGTGAGAAAGAGAGAGCATACTGGTTAAGAGATAGATGGAAGCAGCACCTCTGAGTAGTTCCAGTTCCTGAGCCAGGTGGATCGGCAATATTCCAGCACTCTGCTGACAGCACAGCCCAACCTGGCTCATCGGCAGCACTTGGAGGGTTAGACCAGTCACTGGGGGCAGGGGAGTCCCCACGCAGCTCCTGTTAACCTGCAGCCAAAGCCTCTAACGGCTAGCTGGACAAGCAGTGGGAAAGCTTGCCAGACAGCGCTATCAGTGACAAGCTGTGTGGTTTTAGCCTGGTTAGACTCCGGCAGTTACCCTAACGCACACTCTGGTGTCCCCAAGCATTGGCTTCAGTTTGCGCCCAATACTCTCTAGGATTAGGTTAGCAGGTAGTGTCCCGTGGGGAGAGAGTGTGCCATCCCACTCCAGAGCTGGAGATTTGCATGTGTAGGTGAGTCACATTCAGGCCTGTATAAAGCTATAGTCAGGCCTCAACTAAATTATAAAGCAATAGCTCTAAGCATTGTGACATACAGGGGCTGCCCAGGCTCTAGAGCAGAGCAGAGGCTGATCTGATCCCATGTTTAGAGGAACGAACCACGAGTGAGTGTTCTTTAGTCATTGAGAGAAGACACCTCAGGGGACCTCAGAGAGATGTTTAACATTTTAAATGGGATTGAAAAAGTAAACCCAACTTTTGAGAAAGAAATTCCGAGCAATGGTCAGTTCACTAAATGAGGCAATAAATATGTAACTTTTAGTTCATTTTGGATGTGGAAAACCAAAGTTTCTTACTGCCAGATTACTCCAAATGCCTCATTCCGCTTGTGAATGTACTTTCATCCCACTCCATCCTTCTTGCTTTCTTGGTTCTAATCAGTTGCCTACTGCAACTGCAGCTGCACTCTCCCTAACACATTCCTCCCGACCCCCAACACTCCATGGACCCCTCACCCCCCCACGCCTCACACACAGAAATTCCCACACACACTGTGCATACACACGTTGAGACATTCCCACACACATTTCGTTGGCCAATCTGCGAAAATCTCCCTTCTCTTTACCAATAGCCAGGGGATCTTTAATGTCAACCAGATCAGGCAGACAGGACCTCGGTGTAACAACAACAACAAACAACAACAAAGTTACATTTGTATAGCACCTTTCACGTCAGGAGGACGTCCCAAGGCGCTGGACAGACAGAGTTACGGACCTGAGCTGAGGGTTGGGGTGGGGGGTAAGCAGGGAGTTCAAAAGCACAGTCGAAGAGGAGGGTCTTGAGGTGGGTCTTGAAGGTGGTGGGGGAGGGACAAGACGGAGGGACTGCGGGATGAAATTCAAGAGGGTGGGTGCAGAGTGGCGAAAGACCCGCCTGCCGATAGTGGGGCGAGCGAGGCGGGTGACATGAAACAGGCCGGAGCCCACTGAGCGGAGGGAGTGAACAGGGTGGTAGGGGGTTAGGAGGTCGGAGAGGTAAGGGGGAGCAAGCCGTCAAGGGTTTTGAAGGTGAGGACCAGGATCTTGAACTGTATCCTCTGTGTGATGGGAAGCCAGTAACATCTCATTGTGGAGAAACGCAACGCGTCCCAGCCCCGCGCTGGAGCTGTCAGTCCAGATTGTAATCTCAAATCCCCAACATGGACCTCGAGCCCACAACCTTCTGACCCAAAGGTGAGAGCGTGAATAACTGAGCCAGGCTGATGGTCTGGGATCAGCCAAGGCCTAAACATTGCCCAGAACATACATCAAAAACAAGCATCATTTACCAGCCCAACCCTCACCCCAGAAACCTAGCATGCGGCTCTGCTCACCGAGGTCAGCCCCGTGCAGCTGGACTTCACTTCGTACTCAATGTAGGCCAACTCCTCACCGTCCGGTGTCTTCCCAGACTTGGTGTAGCACAGGTCCCGGGTGCGGTTTATCATGCCGTCAATCTGGCTGAGGGGGAAAAGGCAAAAGGCTGACTCGTCAGTGGGCTTGGCGGTGGCAGTCTGTCCCACGGCAAAGGTGGCGAACAGGACTGCCCCTCCGTCCACGAGTACCCCGCCTGGCCCCGCCAGGCCCTGGCCAGGGCTGCCCACATAGGCTGCCTGAAGCAGGTTGTAAGTCATATCGTCCGTCTGGCACTCCAGGGGCAGCTCCACGTACGAGTAATAGTGCGTGTCCCCCAGGCAGATACGGGAAATGTAAGTCTTATACTCTCTAGAGGCCGACTTTAAGTCCCGGCGATAGAACAGGAAGTAGACAGATGAGCGGTGGATGAAGGACTTGACAAAATGGTGGTTGTATTCGGACAGC